TCCAAAATAAAAGACATTGGATGATGCTATCCTCTTACTATATTATCAGTGTTAATAATTCCGAGCTCTTACATTGTGTGAAGCCAATAAATAACCACTATGGTGGTTACTTGATTATATTTGCTAGGACATAAACATACTGGCTCTTATTAGAGAAAACCTTGGGGTTCTTTTCCTTCCCAAAAAGACCAAGAAATTTCTGCTCTAACACATCTCCATATGAACTTCCCTTTTTCAACCAGTGGGAAAATAAAGAGGACAAAAAGTGCTGCATCTCTCATCAAGTGGCTCCATTAATGAGATTTTCTTCTTTGTAGCATTTTTAGGCATTGATTTTCATGAGTACCACTTCCCAACAAAAAATCCTAATTCTGGGAGGAACTAACCAAGCCAGATTGCATTTACCAAAAACAATATAGAAATAAGAGAAGAAAAATATAGAAACAAAAGAGAAAGAAACATGTGGCTGAAAAGATCAAACTCTATTGCTGACATCTTAGGGTTGACAAACACATCATCCAAAAAGTTAATGAGAGCAATCAGCAGTCTCATGATCCCGATAATTAGCAATGCAGACACCTGACTAAAGTTCCTTCTTTGGCAGTTTTGATTATTACAATGGATGAACTGACCAGTTGAACCGCTGAACTGGTAATCCAGAAAGCTCTCCAGCTAAATGCCAGGGTTGGTTTTTTAAAACATTGATCCTCATTGGAATAAATGGTTCAAAGTTTCTCCCTGATGAGGTCAACTGCGCTGTTTTTGAACTTGAGATTATGTAGATAAAAAATCAAAATGGAAACTAGAAGATCTTCAACACATTATACTTTCGGTTTTATGCACTTTCAAGTCATGATTTTATACATGAAATTAGATAGACACCAGAATAAGAATTTGAGGATTTCAATATATGGAAATTCTTGGTGAGTTCTCACCTTATCATACAAAGCTTTAGACTCAGCATACTGCTTCTTCAGTTCTTGGTTATTAGGCTCTAGACGCAGGGCAAACTCAGCATCTACAATTAGTATGTATGTTTTAGTTCATAATACTGGAAAAACTAGAGATAGCCCTACCACACTTAGTACATTCAACATCAATAATATAAAACACATATACCTTCAATGGCCGCTTTAAGTTTACCAAGTTCTTTTCTGGCTGTTGCACGTCGTGAATATGCTTTGATGTAACGATCATCTAAATTTAAGGCCTCTGTGCAGTCATCTTCAGCTTCTTCAAATCTAAACAACCAGAAAAATTAAATTAAAAAGAGCAAACATTAAATTCTGATTTCTGAAATGGTATAACTGGAAAGAGAATGAATCATGCTTTTTTTGTTTAACTTTCTATCTTGACAACCTAGTAAAGTAGGACAAACAAACTGAGATCAGATTAAATGATCAAAAAAGAAAAAGAAAGAAACAATTATGTAGGATTAACTAACTATAGCACCCAGATATCATGCATTTTTTTGCACAGTGACATATGGGGAAAGAAATATTTTTTGAATGTACAATTTATGTATGTAATCAGAAAAGCAATCACTTGCCTTTTGATTTTGAGGTAGGCCATGGCTCTATTTGCATAAGCTACTGCAGTAGGCATTAATGCAATGCTTCTTGAATAGCAATCAATCGCTTCATTGAACTTCTTCTGCTTAAAATATTCATTGCCCTACATATATGATAATAATCCAGACTTAACACTGTATTAGCTCACCTCTGAATGACATTATACATCATCAAAATAACATCAACAAGATACAAATTATACCAGCTCTTTCTCTGAAGTAGCATCTGGAGAGTCTTCTGCATTCAAATAGCTGCTTGATAATTTGTTAACTGCATCAAAGTTTCTTGAGAAGTCAAATCTATACTTGCTATTTCTTGAATAATGAACTGACGGACTTTCTCCCCCTGGCCCTTTATCTCTGCCTACCGCTGCAGTATTCTGAGGGGAAAACACCTTCAAGTAATTTCCATCAGAATACCATAAGTTATAATTGTAATATCAATAACGAATATCATACTTCAAGTGGTGGCACAGAGATTTTAAGGATTTTTAAGTGGACAAAAGTAAGTGCATGAAAGAGGCACTGAACTCAGCTTAGCTTAACGGTGAGGTTCCACTTGCCTGTTCTTTTAATTGTCTTCCTCTCCCACCAATTCCAGGTTCACTAGAAAGTTGACTTGCATTTTTCATACCTACTCTCTGGGTAGGGAGAGCCTAGTAAATCATAAGGTTAGCATTAGGAAACAACAGCAATAATATTATTGAAAGAGGGGCACTATAAGAGTAGATTCTTATAACATGAAAACTGACACACTGAAGATATCGGGTTGAAAGCACTAATTGTATGGCATGGAAAGAGATGAAACACATCGTAACAAGCATATTCAAGCAACAAAGCATGTATTTGTTTAATGTTAGAAATATGGCAACAATTTTGAGGAAGTTCAAAATGAAAAACACAATACTAGTCAGAACAGTAGCTTAGACATGTCCTTTTTCTTTCTCCAAGCTTAGTTATTTCTGCAACAAACTTTATTTCTTTTTTATGTTAGATGGACTCTGCCAGACAGGATCTGTAGCCTCATGAGACCTTAGCTTTTCTATCCCCCAAGAAGATGAGGGAAAGATCATGTGGAGATCTCTTAGAGATGCAGTCGTATGGTAGTGGGAAAAAAAGAAATGCCAGAATATTTGATAAATCAGCCATGTTGATGCACCTTTAATTGAAAACATTTCAGTAAAAGAAGCAAATTGGCTGCAAACACTAGAGTAATTCTGGATATTCAGCAGCGACAATGATGAAAATATTCGGCACTAGGATGTGGCAGCCTCCCCCCAAGCCTTGACAATGTTATCTCATCCTTCCCAATGTCCTCAAAATAATCAAATCAAGCCTTTAATGGCTGTAGCCTAGGAAACCGAGGAAGATTGGGATAAGGAGTGGTCTTTAGAAATCAAGATGGTGAAATATTGCTGACATACTTGAACCCTAATCATATTGACAATAGGAACTCAATTTCAGCTGAGCTGCTTTTGTACTCCAAGAACAGAGGTCGGCACTCTCTGTAGACCATGAGGGACTGAATATTGAAGAAGACTCCTAAGTGATAATTGGTTGGTTGAAGGAGGAAACTGCTAGTTTAGACATACTTTCACCTATCAGATCCAGCATGAACACTTCATTTAGATGGATGTTAAAATGTGCAACCTCCTTAAAAGGCATACTTGCTACAGAGGATGTTAATGGGGAATATTTGTATTGTGTTTCTATTAGGGAAGTGAAAATTACTAACATTGTGCATTGAGAAAGTTTAAATTTTTAGTGAAGCTGATTCATATTATCCAAGGAATGATATCAACTGTACCTCCTACTTTTTGTCTAAATAAAATCACATTAATCTATATTGATCAACCACGTATAATCACCCTTTTCCTGATCTGTTATTCATTAAAAAAATCCTCAGATTGCATTACTTCCTTGCTTGGTGAAAATAATTGGCCAATATCCAAATCCATTTCTTTATCTATCTTGTTAATTGTCTTCAGTGTTCTAAAAGGTAAGTGAGGCTTAAGCCTTGAAACCTGCCACAGGACAAGAGTCATGAGACCAAAGGAAAAAGCCTTGAGGCTCAAAACAAAAAGTACAAAGCATATGTCTCACACCTTGAGATGTCCTATGTCAAAAACATGCATTTACAAGACCATTGTTAAATTTAAAACCAACTAGTGGCATCCCCATGCCTCCACCTCTGCCTTTTAAAACATTAACTGGCCCAGATGATACTTACTGCTCAGAATATGTAAGGGTCCACTTGGTTTGCAGTTGGAATTGGAATCGAAATCCTCCGGAATTGGAAGAGTCCATTCCCATAGTCTATTTGGTTCGTATGGGAATGGGAATGGGAATTAGAATTAGCAGGAATGGGATTTCATTCCCAAGGGAGAGGCAAGGAGTGGCCATTCCCTCAAATGGGGGAATGCCTTTCCAATAGAAATGGGAATGGGATTCCAATTCTGTCCAACCAAACAATTGGAATTGGAATAGTCCATTCCGATTCCGATTCCAGACCCCTATTCCCATGAACCAAACGGGCCTAAGTCCCAGCAATCAAATAGAATATTGCATAACTGAAAACCTTTTACACTTCATTGAAACTTGCTACATAAGAATCATGCCCTTGATATCAGTCATTTAAGCGAAGCAACATACACTTGACATCAATTTCTCCTATATAACTCAACCCCAAAGAACAAGAAGCATGTGTCTTATCTCAATCTTATCCTCCTCCAAGGAGTTGGTATACAATGCCCATGATATCAGTCATTTAAACGAAACAACATACACTTGACATCAATTTCTCTTATATAACTCAACCCCAAAGAACAAGAAGCATGTGTCTAATCTCAATCTTATCCTCCTCCAAGGAGTTGGTGTACAAGTAAATTACTGTCGCCCACACAACCATTCTGTTCTTCAGACTATTTTCAATACTCCCCCGAGTCATCATATAGGATTTATGTTGGGAAAAAGGGGTCACAGAAACTTGGAGGAAAAGCTCTAAGGCGTGTTTGAAGACACCATCTTTAGAATGTTATTTGCCCTCACTCAATTTTACTGAGTTTGTGGCTGGGTTACAAGCAAATTCGTTCCCAAGATACAACAGAGCCTTGGGCGAGAATCTGCAACCAACAAAGTCGAAGAGTCCAAAGAAACCTTCTACAAAACAGTAGCAAACCGAGCTAAGAGAGGCAATAATGAATTTTCGAAAAACTTGTGTTCATTTGCTTGATTCACGCTCCTTAAATAATTTCTGAAGAGTCATGGAGCAGAGAAACGTGTTGGTTCAAAAAAAATTTCTTTGAATAGTCACAATTTCAAACATTGTGACTGTTAAAAGGCAATTAACAGTTAATGATTGTTAACTTTGAATGGTGCCTCTTGATCACACCCGATCGAATCATGACCGTTGATGTAACATTGCAGAAAAAGTCAAAGTTGCCTTAGCGGACCACACAGGTGCGAGCAAAGTGCACCTCTAAAGTGCCTATAGCAAACCTCCATACTCTCCTCTTATATTTCTAAGGAGTGTAAATAAGCTCATATTTAAAAACTAAAAACAAGTTTAGTAATTTTTCAACGTGGGATAAGTTGAAAACTGGATTTAGTAAGAGAAAAAACTATTTTCCAAGATGTGTGCAGGTGTGTTTATCATGTAATTGATCAATCAAACCTCATTGGATTTAAGCCCTAATGAGACTAAAATCCAACAATTTAGTTCACCTCAGATTGTCAAGATGTAACACTTATCTACTTAAATGCGTAAAAGTACGTAGCATTGTAGAAAAAAGCTAGACAATTTGATATCTATTGAATCACGCAAGCAAGACACGGCATGCATGAATTTGTTAAAGAATAAAAAAGAGCATCTCGAAATAATAGGACAAGTCTGTTTCTCAAAGGCTGTGTTTGGTTTGATAGAAAATAAGAAAGAAACAGAAAGTTGTGGGAAAGTTCAACATATTCAGATGGTACGTTGAAAATCGACAACTTTTAGGCTTGAGGTTGAGGGGGTCGAAATAGGGTTACTACCTTTGTCTCTTCCGAAGTTTGAGCTCTCAATTTTTTGTCTTTCTCTTTCAGCGATAGCTCCCAATCTTGCAAGTCATTTAAAAACCCCTGGAAGTTCTAAAAAGGAAAAAATACAGCAGTTATATTCCAGTAAATAAATGCATTGTCAAGAGTCAGCATCACCATCACCGCAGAGAGAGAGAGAGAGAAACACAGTTTGTTCTTAATTTTGCAAGTGAGAGCAAGTGCCAAACGAAAGAACTACGTTTACGGGTAAACCAAAGAGACTCAATTTGATGTTTACACCAGGAACTTGTCTTAGTTGTTAAACAGGATGATCAGGAGAACAATTACGTACCATGCCTTCATCACGACTATTCTTCTTTGGAACCCTAGCCATGGAATTCTTTCTCCTGTGAGAGTCGGAAAAAATAAATAAATAAACAAAAAAGGAGCTAAACTTATGATTTATGCTTTATGATTTATGAAACAGGAGGATCGGTCGTGCGCGCGTTCGACGTTTCTAGTGAAGGCGAAAGCACTGCCTTTTCCATCACTGGATCACTCTTTCTTGGGTTACATAGCCCATTGTACACGCCTAGTTTGTAGCATATCCTACACGTCTTAATTTAAATCACTTTTATCTAGGCCGGGACGGTGTAGAACCAGTCCCTAAACGACAGATAACACATTGTCCGGGTCCGAACCAGACCTATTTTTAGACCCAGAACCGGAACCGACTGGTTCTCGGGTCCAGAATATATGATCTGAAATTTAAAAAAAAAACAAATACCACAGCTATGCAGAGATTGATTCATAAATGGACAATTTACCATTTCAGCTAGAGAGAAAACTTGGGAGTTATCTTGGACTTCCTGTTGAAATTGGCATATAAAAAAAACGGGAAAATTCTCGATTAGTACCTTTGGGTCTAGTGTTATTTTGGTCCCCAAACTCTAAAATGCAACAATTCAGTACCTGAACTTTCAAAACGTGATAATCCAGTACCTTAATCAGCCGTTAAGTGACATTTTAAAAAGACATAAACGTCCTTCGTGTGCCATCTAATTTTCTTTATCAACTATCCAAACGTTAACAAAAAAAATTAATAGTCCCAAATCCTTACATATTCTATTCAAGAAAGTTGGGGTCACTAGAATGCCCACTCAAACGTAACCCCAACTTTCTTGAATGGAAGAAGAAAGGATTTGGGACTGATAATTTTTTGTCAATGTTAAAATGGTTGATAAAGAAAATTAAATGACACTCGAAGGACATTTGTGTCCTTTTCAAATGTCACTTAACGACAAGTTAACTGTTGATTAATGACAAGTACTGGATTGTCACGTTTCGAAAGTTCGGGTACTGAATTGTTGCATTTTAAAGTTCATGGACCAAAGTGGCACTAGTGTGAACGCCAGAAAAATATCCCTCGTTGGTTGTTCACTTCATGGTTGAGGTTATGGAGTCGCCACCCATCAGAAATTATCAATGGGGAGTGATGGGTCTCCTAGATTTAAATTTCACAAAACTTTCAGAATTAACGACTCCATATCAATCGGCTAATCTGGGTAAGGTGCGTTCCCTTGTCGTGTCCGGCTAAGGGTGGGCCCACCCTATGAGCTATTGTGTGGGCCCCGCTCTGCTGCTGCTGCTGGTGTGTGTGCGCGCGGCTCATGGTGCCGCCGCCG